GGAAAACGACGGTAAATTAATGTTTTATGTTTAAAAATTGTTTCTCTCTTGTAGAATTTATAATATTATTTTTTTTTCTTTATTTATTTATTTATTATTTATATTCAATTTTGTTAATAAATTAATATTCCCTTCGTACGAACGGGAAAAGAACTTTTTCGCAGATTTTAATTATCGGAAACGAAATAATAATAACCGATTGAAATAATAAATCGAGAAGAGAGAAAAAGGTGAGGATATTTTTTTTTTTTTCAATGTAAATTTCAACACAGTATAAACGAAGATAAATATTTCGAGTTTATTTATTTTCCATTTGGAAAAACTTGAGCAATGAGAGTTTTTATTTTCTAATAATTCAACTATTATTTCGAATGATAGAGTATACGTACTATGTCTCTCTCTCACTCTCTCTCCCTCACTCGTGTTACTGTGTTATTCCCGGATTTTCTTCCAAAATGAAAGCAAGAAAACACGATGCGACGATGACGACAACAACGACGACAACAACGACGACGAGGACCATTCGAATCTTTGTACGTGATATTATGGAAATGGTGCTCGAGATAAGAAACACACTTCGCGACATACTTTCCATTTGAACGCGAGTAATACTTGATTTTTATTCTTCTCTTTTCTTCTTTTCTTTTCTTTTCTTTTCTTTTTTACCATTTTCTCTTTTTTTTTTTTTTTCACCTTTGCAAGCATCAAAGTAAGTACTCGTGTATTTACCTATCTATACTCGTTTCACAAGTACTAGTGAAATAACACCGCGCGCACTCGATTCTACCCATTTATGCTAATTTTTTTTTCAAAGAGCTTATTATTATCAAAGAAAACAAATGGTCTCGAGAATTTCTTTAGAAATAGAATCGATCCCTCTTCGGACTAATAATTAATGAAAAATTATTTCATTTTTATGCTCGCGCAAGACGAGGATTGTTTGAAATAATATAAACCTCGATAAAAAGAACTATTTGTTTTATTTTAAATAACAACAACAACAAAAAGAGAACCGAAAAAAATTGATTACTATTTTGAGACTAAAAACTTTTCAACCCGTCCAAATATAATACTCGATGCATTATTTATTCTATCTTAAATAGAAATTTATACTATTCGATGTTTTATATTTTATTTTGTCATTATTGTTGTTAATCCATTCGCTCTATGCTCATTAAACAATTTTTATTTAATATCAAATTGATCGATCTAATTCGATCGTTAAAAAACAAAATCTAATTTAAAATAAATAAGATAAAAAAAAAAAAAAATGGTTGGATCTCAAAGGACCATTGAAATGCAATCGTGTATTCAATATTCGAATACTTATGAAATAATAGAAAAAGTATCTATAACGGTATAAGTATAGTTTGATCGATTTTCCTAGCTTTAAAAGCTCCGAAGCTTACGAGAAAAAGAAAGAGAATTTAAACAAATAGAAATTCTTTTATATTCTTCTCTCAATCTTACCAATTTCGCGCGTTCCTTCGCATAACCTGTTATAACAAAAGATTATAATTTATAAATACGCGTATAAATACAATTTCACGGTAGTAGTATTCATTTAAAAGATTCCGAATAATCGATATGGTTTTAAATAATGATATTTAACGTTTTATGAGAGGATCATTTTAAAATTGTCATTAACTGTTACCGAAATGTTCGTTCTATGTAATATTTTTAAATGTTTCTTTATCAAAACATGAGATTAGACAGATTATTGTTTCGTTTTAATTGGATTGATATTAACACTTTCGTTTTTTCATTTATTCATTGATTCGTTCACGTTAGTAATATTATTTTACAACAATATATAAATATTATAACTATCGATAGATAGATTTCAGCGTATCGCAGCGTATTCCATCGACATAGTAAATCGTAATTAAATACATTGATCTGTGTCGGTGATATGAGATCAGACATCATAAAAAGAGAAAGAGAGAGAGAGAGAGAGAGAATACCAATTGACAAGTAATTAACTCCAACCCTTCTAATACAGGAATGACGTGTTAAAATACCTTCAATTTTATTATGATTTTATTTTTCAGTCTTATTGACCTCATATTTATAATTGCATTTAATGGGCTAGTGACTTTCATAAAATTTGATCGAATGCAAAGATAAGTTTTGTATATGCATCAGTTTTCTATACCACCAATAATGTATCTCGTAATAAATTTGTCACTTATTTATCATCCATGATATAATTATAAATGTGTATACTACTTTATAATTATTCAATTTAAAATAAAGAAATCGTTTATCTTTTTTTTTTTTTTTCAAATTTCCACGTTACCTATATATCGATCATTTAATTAAAAAAAAAAGAATATATTATAAATCATTGCGTGTGTATTTGTCGAAGAGAAATCCCCCCCAAAAAAAAAAATGAAAATAAATTAATTAAATATTTGCTTTTATTTTGCTACGATGAATTTCCTTGTGGGAGGGAAAGGGGGGGATAACGTAAAATTTAATAATAACTAAAACGTTTATTTTATCGCGTTGAAAGTTGTTTCCGCGACGATCAGATTTATTGATCTATAAGAGATAATAAACAGTTATATAGATATCTGTGTATATGTGGTTAGTACTAGAATGCATTACGATATAGTAGAGAGAGAGAGAGAGAGAGAGAGAGAGTGAGAAAGAGAGAAGGGGGAAATCTCGATGGTTCGCATATTATCGACAGAAACGGCAAATCAATTCGCGTTAACGAGCCTCTCGCAGAGATTTAATGACTGTAAATGTAATACATTGATTAATCTATCCCAGATGGGATATTGAAATGTGAGAGTTAATTATGACTTATGGTGTGAAAGACATCACTGTGTCTAATATCGTTCATCTTTATCGTCGATATTTTATTTATGTGCGTTAATAAACGCAAACGTATAAATGAGAAATTGTTAATATTACAGTACACACACACACACATGTCGGAGAAAAATAATAATCTTAATGAAAGAACACAACGTTAACAATTTTACGTTATAAATTATTAAATTAATATTTACGATAAATATATTATATATTATATAAATATATAATTATATATCTTATTTCTATATAATATAAAATTATTATATTAAAAATAATTATTATGAAAAGAACAAGCTCACCAAATTAATTTTCTTTCTATGTATCTCGCACAGGATAACTTGAAAATCTGTTGTTAGTAATTTTTTACTGGAGACGTTACGTCATTGTTAACAGGTTCGCTGTTAGAGACAAACTGAACGCAGAAGAAATAAGTCGAATGACCGAAGACGAAATGTAAACATTACCGAGTTAATGAATGCGAGAACGAAAGACAATGTTTACTAGTTCAAATTTATTGAAATCAAAATTCAACGCACAAGTTCTCTTCGAATAATATTATCAAAGACGATTTTAATGACAAACGTAAAAATGTTACTTTTTATCGTCGACTTATTTGTACGTTGAATATTTTTTACTATTCGTTGAAGATGAAAAAAGAAAGAAAAAAAACGTACGTTTAGATAATAAAAATTGCGAGAGGATAATAATCATGAAGGAAAAAGAAAACATTTGTATGTACTTCGTGTTTTCTCTGTTTATCGTGACACCTTTTAATTAACGTGCCATCGGTTTAACGATCACAGCACTTATCGTAATCTTTTCCCCGATTAACTAAAGGATAATATTTATGGGGATTAATTAAGATTAAACGAATGAAATAAAATAATGAATTTTGTTAATCTTTTCGATATTGTTTATGAAATAAAATTTTCTCTATAACAACCGATCAAGGTACTACCATGTTGTTGCGATTATTTTTTTTTTTTTATTGAATTTAATCGAATAATAGATAATGGTTACGGTTTATTAAGAATAAAGTAATGAAATATATAATAAATGTTGAATTTTTGTTTTCCGATATTATTAAATGATGACACAACATTGGTAAAAGCAGTATATTCAGTTGATGATAAACAATAGTATAGCAACGTTCTCGATTGGTGAAGGACTATTCATTGTAGAT